TCGTAGAGTTCACCCTCTTTCATACTTTAAGCCCTTTCTTAATTCAACCAAACTCTGTCGTGTGGCCAACCTCATTTAGAATGGTACAGGACACTCAATGCTTCCCAAACCTCAGGATCTGGAAGAGGTGTATGGGGGGAGGCTATATTCTGGCTTCCTGACAACCTCGTAGGATTCCCTATAGACCACATCTGTAGGGATTGCATATGGGAGAAGTGGCTGCTGCCCGGCCTGAGTCTGGGCAAAGTGCCCTGTGATTCCTCCTGGAGCAAGAATGAATAACCAGCATGGTGAAGTGATACCATAGAGAGTTTCCCACCCGCCTCCCTATCTTATGGGAAATGATCACAAGCCATTTCTTGTCTATCTCTCTGGCTTCAGTTCATGTTCTCTTAGTGTTCTGCTACAGACTTCTACGTGAGTCTGTCTGCTTGGGTATGGGTTACAGCTGATTCCTCAATGGCAGAATGACCCACCACTTGTGCCATCTATCATCTGGCCTCTCTGGGCATCATCCCATGGAATTAGCATGCAGGGAGCTGACGCCATCTGGTCCTGATTTTGTTTTCTGTGTAAGCAATGCACTGTCTAACTCCACTTGAACTCATTGTCTCTCTACTGGCCAGATCTGTGGATGTGTGGTGTGAGACACTAAGAGCTGCAGTCAGGAGCCTCGTAGACCTGTTACCAACCACAATGCTGCTCAGGGGCTCAGGGGCTTCCTAACTGCTTGATAAGCATGAAGGGGAAAGTTTTGGAAGTCTGGGCTCAGATAGGAGCAGAGATTGTCAAACTCACCTCGATTAGACAAGTTACTCAAAGCTCTCTGAGCTACACTAGCAAGCGTGTAAGTTAGGTGATTGATCTTCTTACTAGCTTAAAAGTGTGAAATAGATCACCAACCAAAAAGACTCTGGACTCAGGACTGCGTAATGAGTGAAAGTTATTACTGTCAACAAGGAAGTCCAATCAACAGAGAGATGATAGGCTACAGGGGTGAGACACTGAGAGGAGAAATGGACTGATTTTTTTTTTTTTTTAAAGCCAAGACTTATGTATGTCATACTAGAAAAAGACAGTTCTAGGCACTGGTAGTTGGGAGGCAGTAGCTGAGCTGATTGGTTTTCCTAGGTCCCCCTGGAGGTGTGTTTCCCTGGTTCTTGGCTCTTGTCCTAATGCATCTTTGTAGAGCAAAAGGTTTTGAATCTTTAAAGCCTATGAAGCTTATTTGCTTGGCATTCTGTCCCCAGCCCACACGCAGAATGCTCCCCCAGCATTCCCCCAAGCATTCTGGAGTCTCCTGTAGGTTGGTGGAGGTTTTTTTTTGGTGGGGGAGGACTGTGGCAAAGCATGTACTTGGAGTAGCCAACAGCAGCAGGGGAAAGCTTCATGCCTCTGCCAGACACCAGCACAAGTGGCAGGCAGACAGGGAAGCCCACAGACAGCCAACTCACCCAGGGCAGAGAGGAAGGATTTCACAAACAAAGACTAAGGGGTGGGCTGGTGAGGACTGTGATTTAACACAGCTCCTGGGCATCCCAGCAATGCCCCTCACAGCAGTTCTTTTAGCCAACTCAGCCAATACCTTATGTAATGGTACATCCCCAGCCAATAGTTTTCCTACTCAAGGTCACAAGTTAGACTTCCACGTTGTCCCGCTGTCCTAGTTAGCAAGCCTCCCTGACCTTCCCCATGGAAGGCTCTATCTTCGTACTCTGTTGATGGCCCTCTCAAAGAAACCTGATGAGAATTCCAACTGTTAGAAAAGAAAGAGGAATATTTTTGTTCTGCCCAGGGAAAGATAATCCTCCCCCTGAGAATGAATCAAATGACCCCTTTGAATTGAAAATAGATAAAAGTTGAAATAAACAAAGCTTATATTTGGGGGGGGGGATGAAGTTGGTTGTATATATCCTATTAATACTCAGAAAATTCTTTTGCCTTTTTCAAATGTAGAAGGCAGCCTGCAGCTGTGGCAGGGCGCCCAGACGCCCGTTCATATCCATTCTTCTTTCTCTCTGGTAATAGAAGCCTACTTGTTTAGCCGGGCACATGGCTTTTCCCTCCTATGGAGCTAGATGCAACCCTTTGATTTAAGTTCTGTCCATGGGTACATGTGATGTGTACAATTCCTTAGTCATGTCCCTAAAGGGAAAGTTATCCACCTTCCCCTCTCCCTAACTTCTCTCTCCTACTGCCTACAATTCAACCGTGGAGGCGAGCCGTCTGTGACAGTGTGTGTGAGGGTCGCAGGTTGAGATGGCAGGGAGATAAGACAGAGAACAGTCTGCTCCAAGGAGTAGCACACTAGTCTGGGATAGTCAACCTCTGGAAATAAACTTCTACACTTCGCTTCTACTGGCATGTTTATTTACTTGCACAAACAAGTAAAATTAAAATCTGAGTAAAGGACCCTGAGGCTGCCTGTAGAACTATTATGTCTGGATAGCCCCCCCTTCTCCTTATACGGGACACCCTTGAAAGATAGGCTTTAAAGATTGTCTCTAAATCTAAGGCTTTGGTGGTTCTATGGACATATTGATATAGTTCATGATGATATAGTTTTATGGATATATTGATATAGTTTATGATAGATCATCATGAGGGATGATTTCCTATGTTGCTTGATAAACAGTATTGACCACACCAGTCCCAAGCCTTCAATCTCATCAAACCCTTTTGCTCTACAAAGATGCATTGGGACAAGAAAAAATATGTGCTGTAAGAACTCAAAACACTGTTTTTGTGGTTGGCTAATTCTATCACAGTCGGATATACTTAAGTGTTGAGATGGAGCAAGGACCGGGAGGGAAGAAGAGAGGAGAAGGGAGATGTGGTGAAGCTGAGCACCTCGTGACCTGTCAGACCCTGCAGCCCCCTGAACACCAGCCTCATGCAGAAGGTGGAAGGCCAGGGGAGTCAGCTAACTTGCTCTCGAGAACACCGTGACTCAAGCCTGTCTTGCTTCAGATCTCGTGCACTGTGCACAATACCAAGCTGCCTATATAGAAAGATATTTACAAAATACAAGAAGGTCCTGGACTTGAGGGGTTTGAGTCATAAAACACTGCTGGTTCTAAGGAAATGATAAAATAGGGCAAAACTTGGTTTTTAGCAATGTTCCTCTCATTAGTAACTTCCTGCCCGTCTGCTGCTGATGAATCTACATTAACGAATGTTGCACAGTGGTGGAGATCACAGACCCTAAGGCCAGCCTGGCTTTGTTCTAACCTCAGCTCTAGTGCTTGTGATATCGGTGTACCCCAACCCTTCATCAGTAAAATCGAGGATATTAATAATACTTACCTGATAGGGTTTTGTGAAGATTAAATGAGTTAATACTAAAAAACATTACTAGGATGACTAGGAAATTGTGAATATGGACTGTCTATTTGAAGATAGTATTGTACCTATTTAAATTTTTTTGAGAATAGTAACAGTAAATACTATGGCTAGGTGGGAGAATTCTTTGCTCTTATACGAAATGCTGAAGTATTTGGGGTGAAGCATCATGATGTCATGATGTCTGCACCCTACTCTTTAGTGGACTGGCCTGTTTATGAGGAGAGGGACACAGAAATGGAAATAAAACCTAAAAAAGGCAGAATGATAAGCCTTGGTGAATCTAGGTGAAAGGTACAATGAGGTGCTTGTGTACTAGTCTTCCAACTTTTCTGAAGCCTTGATATCGTTCAGCATGAAGAGGTAGGGACTGAGTGTCACGGTACATGTAACGCCTCACAGCTGGTAGCTGTCAGACTAGAAACCTGGTGAGGACAGGGCTCTTCATTTGCATATGTTCAGTGTCTCAACCTTGTCTGGTTATGTAATAGATGTTCGGTGCATCTTATTGGTGAATAAATAAAAACATGAATGGGTTTTTCTCTTCTTGTCCCTCCCCACTATCTACTTTCCCTCACCACTCCTATTTGAAATTACTTTCAGGTTTATATTAAAGGTGTAAGTTGCTGTTAAGACTTGGGTATCAGCCCTCTTTTGTGTGTGTAAATTTGTGTGTAAGAGGTTTTCTACCCTGCTCCACCTTCTTTCCTACCTAAAATCAAAGCATATAGGAGGTTGCCAGATAAAACATAGGACATCAAGTTAAAGTTGAATATCAGATAAATAATGAATCATTTAATTAGGATAATGATGTCCCATATATTTTACAGGGGCCAAATACTGCATGGGGCAATTTATACCCAAAGTTATTCATTGTTTATTGAAATTCAAATTTTATAGGCATTCTATATTTGTTAAATCTTGCAACTCTAATCAAGACCTTTCATTGCCCTGGTGACTCTGCCCCCAACCACAGCAAAATCTTAGTTGTGCTGATTCATCTCACAGATGATGTGAACAGTCCCTTGGAGTTTTTTCCCATAGTGGAAATAAGCCTTTCTCCTTTAGCCAAATTATCTCCCATTTGTTTCACTCCTCTCCATTCTGAATCTCTCACTTTTCACCTAGTTGTAACACACATGAAGGATTGCATTTTTTATTTGTGACGAAACTCATAGATAAGAGTATACATATAGCTCACATAAAAAATACACAAGGATGGTAATTGAATCGAATATACAGTGTTGAATAGGTAGTGCGATTGAGAAACTACACATCTATTGTATACAGTGTCATTAATGTCAACGAATTTCTTTTTAGAAGCACTTCTTGTACAAAGAGTATGTTTCTGCAGTTAGCAATCGTGCAAATGTTAAAAGTACTGTTTATAGAGCTCAATCTCAAAACAGTCCATGGAATTCTATCTCATGGATTGATGGACCACTTGATAGATGGCCCTGATTTACAATGACCTTTCCATGACATACCAGGGAAAACCAACAAGAAGCCCAGGCCTTACAGAAGCAATTACAGAAAATCGCCGCGGAACGGCAGTGCCCTTCCACACATGATGCACGCGCACATCTGCTCCATTGCACCTTCCTGAGTTGAACTTTGAAACGGTAGCCAGATGCGTTCATCTCCAGCCAGCAGGGCGCTCACTGGTGGTAGTAGTAACCTTCATAGCCGTCATAGCTTTGGCCTTTGTAGTAGCTGTACTCGTCCTCGTAGGCGCGGTAAGTGTCCCCACGAGGCTCCCCGTTCTCACTATCATAGACTTCGTATCCATTGTCGTATTCGTTGGTGCCTGTTTGTTCGTACTCCTCCTCATATTCAAAGGTGGTGGTTTTCCCAGATGGCGGGGAGGGGGTCCCATAGACCTCCGGAGGCGGGGTTGTGGGTTGAAACCCCCCGTTTGGAGAGGTGGTCTGTCCTCTGGTCCCTGCGGTCTCCCCAGTGACGCTGTCACCTTCCCCTCCCTCTCCGGCGTCCCCGCCGCTGCTGCCATTCCCATTTTCCGTCTCCGTGCTGTTGGTGCTGGTGCCGTTAACGCCTTGATCGTTTTCATCCACTTCTGCTTCGTTTTCTTCATTTTCATTTTCTTCCTCTTCCTCCTCCTCCTCTTCTTCATCGCTTTCCTCCTTCTTTGTAGCTTGCTTTCGCATGTCCCCAGCCTGGAAGGAGAAGCGTGAAAGAATCCAGATATAGGGGTGAAATTTTAAAACTTCCAGCCATCACTTCGTCCAACAGAGCGATTCTATTCTGACAGCCTTGTTCTAGGTGTCATTTTGAACTGAAGTCAACTTAACTCACAGGATTGGGGAGGACTTTTTTTTTTTTTCATTCACCATCCAATTTGATTTACTCACAAAAAGAAAGTTCAGAACCCATCCTGCCATGTCCCTGAACTTGTAGCACTGAACATTACACCTCCTTCACCCATGGTAGCACTTTTATTTTATTTTATTTTATTAAATCATAACTGTTTACCTTAATGCATTTATGGGGTACAATGTGATGATTTGATATACAATGCGGAAAGCTTACATCAAACTTGTTAACAGAACCAACAGGTAGCACTTTGATCCCAACAACCACCCTGTGAGGTTGTGGTCATCACCTTTCCTCTAAAGCTTTAAACTCTCGGGTTAAGTATCTTCCTCATGG